TTTCTAGCTTGTTGGTTTTTTTTTTAAAGTTTATTTATTTAGTGTGTGTGTGTGTGTGTGTGTGTGTGGCCAGCTCAGCCCACCTAGGGGCGGGGCTGGCTGGCATGTGGTGCTGGGGAATCAAACCAGGGTCTCTGTGCTTTGCTAAGCTTGTTCTAAGTAGGTGCTTTAGACCACTGAGTCATCTCACCAGCCCAACTTTTACCTATTCTACAACAGAAATTATAGTACTATTTCTGAGAGCATATTAAGCTGACCTACAAAGTTTCTTTACCATGAGGTAAAGTATAAAATACTATCAAAAATGTGATAGTTGAAGAGTAAGACCTGGAATTTAGCGGGGACACTGATAAACGGTCATGGATGATTTTGCCAACATTTTAATTATAGAGATGTTAAAAATAACCCATAGTGAATGCTGCTTCTAAGTGCCATCCAATAGAACGTATAGTATACTTAAGCATGTGACAAGTTTCAACTAGTTTTCCTCATTCTAATAGATTTGAACATAATGGCAGCACTAACTTTATCATGATGTGACTGAAGTTGTCACTGAGTTGCAAAATTGTGCAACCTCAATTTCAAGTTTTACTCCATTTATGGCAGAGTACAGCATTTTCACTTTTTGCATTAAATTCATATTACCTAGAAAAATTCAAGAAAACATTTGGAAAGTTTTTTTGTTCCACTGTTTGTAGCATTCCAAAAATGGAGAAACTAGGCATAAATGGGTTAAGAAATGTCATGAACCATGACATTTGGATCTGTGGTTTTGACCCTAAGAGCAAGGTACAGAATTCCATTTTTTTTTTTAACAGAACCAGAACTCAGGCCCTTGTGCTTGCCAGGGAAGCACTTATTCCACTGAGCCATCTCCCCGGTCTCAGAGTTCTCAATTGTAACCATCCAATTCTCACAAGAAAACTCATCAGTCTGGGCCAGGGAAAAGCTCAGTGGAATAATTGCTTCCCCGGCAAGCGCAAGGGCCTGAGTTCAATCCCCGGTTCCAAAAAAAAAAAGAAGAAAACTCATCAGTCTTTTTTCTTTTTGGTGGTGATGGTACGGAGTTTGCACTTAAGTCCTTAACATGTCACATAGCAATTCAATGCTGAGCCATGCCCTCCCATGTTTTTTTGACATCTATGTACTGTGTGAACCAAGTTTGTGCCTAGGAACACTATGGTGAGCTTTGAAGATTATAAAAGGGCTTATTTTTAAGAAATGATGCGTGTAAAAGAAGTCTGAGAAATGGGGAAACAGTTCATTCCCCATTGTAATATTCAGTGTAACTTCTTATATGGCAATTTCTGTCACGTAAAATTGTGTTGCATCCACCTTATTCAATACATATGGCCCTGTGCAACTTGGGGCTCCTCTCCAAATGAAAAGTAAATGCTGGGGCTGGTGAGATGGTTCAGTGGTCTAAAGCACCTACTTAGAACAAG